TCGAATAATTTAATTGTTTCTAACTGTTTATCATTTCCCACAAAAGCATTTCTATAATATTCTACAAATTCATTCTTATTTATCTGGACATCGCCAGTCATTCTCAAGAGAGATTCGATAAATAACTAAAACCACAAAAAATTGCCATTTTACAGTAAAATCTTCAAAATTTTAAAACAGTTGTATATGAGTAATACAGGAAGAGCTCTCACAGCGTACCAAGTTTGTTTAAAAGAAAATTTTATCGTTATGCATCATACTTTAGCAAATGCACTCTTACTGGATACTTGTTCGTGCATGCGCCCAAGTGTCGTTGCGCCCAAGTGTCGTTGCGCCCAAGTGTCGTTGCGCCCAAGTGTCGTTGCGCCCAAGTGTCGTTGCGCCCAAATATCGTTCGCGCCCAAATGTCTGGTAATCTTACAGCTCATCCCTAGGCGCCAGAGAACACGAAAATAACTGTCTCTGATTAGCATGCTGTCTGTATAATAATACAATAATTTATTATCTATATTGACGTAGCTGTTACCATCTGTGATCTAATTAGTTCTCCATTTAGCCTATCTCATTCATTTTTCTAAAGCAGTCGATTAGAATGCAGGCAAATGAAACATTCCAGTCTTATGGGCACATCTTAAAGACATGAATATCTTAGTCGAAAAATAGTATCGCATGGCAATTTTCACAGAGTCACAACCATACAGTTGTTGGTCGCAGAATGTAACAATCATGCGCCTTTGACAGCCTCTCGAATTCATATCCGATGAAACCGATAAGAGGCTTTTCCCTGAGCTCAAGAAAACGATTACGTTATTGTGAGAGACTCATTTTACTTTGTACGGTTGGAACTTAAAAGCACTCGCACAACACGAGCACTCAACACATAGCCATTTATTTTTTCCTTCTTCTCTGTTTTTGTGTGTAGCGCAAGAAAGAAATGAGTCAAAAAAAAGTTTCACCTATGAATGACATGTGTACTTATGTATTTTTTTTCATGTTTTGTTACGCTCAAGACATCAGTAAGAAAAAGACAAATGACGACATCGATGGTAATCACTGGGTTTGACGACCTCTCGTCAGAGCTCGTTCTCTGTATTTTCGACTTTCTTTCGCCAGCTGATCGATACAAAGCCTTTTTCGACTATGATTCTCGATTACTTGTCAAACAATGAACCCACTACAGGCGCAAACGACTCGATGCTGACATTCGTCGCTTTTCGACTCTTCACAGTTGGTACAAACATTTATCGTTTGATGATGGTGGCACTCTTTATTTTATTTGTTCTCTACAAGGTCAACAGCCTCGTTACAATTTTTCTCCATGCGTCATCGACGCTACCGGTTTGCATTGGTGTTTTATTTACGGCGAAGACGTCAAACTGATTGACGACGAGAAAGTGCGCGCGATTGTCACGCGTCATCCCTTTCGACTCAATCCATTCTTTTATCACAAAGAATATAACAATTCACCCAATCGTTCATTCTATGGCGGTCATATTACGGTAAGATGTTCTACGCATTAAGAAAAATAAATAGACAAATTACAAATAAGACGAACCTTTATTATCTCAACCCGCATTCATGATACACAGATCATTTTCAAAATAAAACAGTATGAGTCACAGATAAAAAGAATATAAAGGAAACTTCACCTGCATTTAATTCAAATTTCAAGAAATTACGATCTTTAAAAACACCGTGTGATGTTTCAAATGTTCCGTCATGTACGTCAAACATTACACGATTATGTGAGATAGCAGAACACTCCATGTCAACTTGTACTTCTGGAAGCGATAAAAAATGTGCTAGATTCTGAAGAAATGGAACAAAACTCCATTTAACGTTCGTGAAATTATTGTTTTTCAGCGGTATCTAAGACAAAAATATTGAGAACAAGAAAAATATCAGGGAGATTGTTGACTTACCAAAGCGCTCTCACTTCGTGGAGTACAATAGCCAAAATATTTATCAACTGCTCGCAAACGATTGCTGGTAGCCGATAGATCTCTCAAAAAAGTTATTGCTTCCGAAACAAGCTACAGAACAAAGTACACATAGGAGGCTTAGTGATTCTCTTCACTCAACTTTGAAGACATGAATCTCACTTGTTGATGTTGTAACATGCATTCAAGAACATCAGCTAAATTTGTTGCAACGTAAGTAATCGCTGCTTCGGATACCTAGAATACCGCCTGAAGAGTAAACAGAAAATGCAAAATTCTCATTATGAGTCACTGCACGAGTGGGACAGCGATAGTTGCTCAATCGATGTTTGACTTTCTGGCTCAGCATTTTACCGTAGGTAGAGGCACATATATAGAAAGATCCTCAAAATTTTTTCGTTCAGACTTACTTCGTTAAAAAGTTATAGAGCTTTTGGTAAAGCCCTAAAAATAGCCTAAAACGATACTTCAATAAAAGTCAAATTTCTGATGTTTATATCTTGGTCTAGGAAGTTGATTAAGAGCTCATATTTGCAGCATAAGTAGTCAAGGTCGAATACTATCTATAACCAAGAGCATATGCAAAAATAAGTTTTACATATGTGCGAACAAATGCGCACAAGATGGTAAAATCTTGCTGAGACGAACAGTTTGACGTAATATTTTTTAACCTTGAAGTTTTCCTATTGCATTGAGTGTTACTTATATCCATTGTACAAGTAAACTTGTACTATAAATTATGAAATCAATCCATACAAGTCTCTTGGTTGATGCACGGCTGAGCTCGAAAGTCGATAGAAAAACGAAAAATGGCCTACTTTCCAGTCGATTTTCTCGTCCGATAGTGTTCCAAATGTTGGAACTATAATGCCGCTGTAATCTATGGACCCAATACTAGTCATGCCTGAAAGCCGTTTTTTGGAGGATTTACATATGGCTCTGGAAAAGGTCTCTGAAAATCCGTTTTTTGAAGTTGACTTACGAGGGAACATATCTAACTGATCAATCGTTTTTTTCACCAAACCTAGTGGGTTATAGGTTATTGACCACGCCGATTCCGAATATCCATATGAGACGGACCGCTAGACCTTTCTAGAGCGGTTTTCTAGAAAACTGGTTTTTCAGAAAACTCGAAAAATCTCCGAAACTTTCCCTTTAAGTCACGGTTGTAACGCATGAAATTATGATCAAAATGAGACATATCCAACCTCTACGTGACCTATCTGCGAAGTTATAGAATTTACAAGAAAAGCCCTAAATTTCCATTGTCAGCTCAAAGCACAGAAATAAGAAGAAATTAGGGAAAGCTTCCACACTTTTTATGCAAACGAATCAACTGTTCGACCTAAAAGTGCCTAAAACAAGTTCACTACAAATTCTGAAAAGATGATCCTTCATTCCATGCTCGCTTAATTACTCTCTTCTGCTCATGCGATATATTATTCTTGTCTATAAAAAGCATCATCAATGTTTTGTTTCTCTTCAGTGCTTCAGTGATCGTCATTGCGCCTTGATGCCATATATTATTGTTGGATATAGAAAGATGAGTCAATGTTTGATTTGTCTTCAGTGCTTCAGCGATCGCCATTGTGTCTTCTGCCGATGCTAGTCGCCATCAAGGTCTAAACATCCTTCCTTTCCGAATTTCAGCTTATTGACAATGGTTTGAATATCTTTCGACGCTGTCTTCGTGTCGGCTGTATACACAGGTGTTGCCAGTGTGTTTTCATGTTGCCCGTTTTCTTTGAATGTTGGATCCGATATGCTTTTCTTTATGTGACTGGTATGTGTACAATTTGATCCTAATTTAAAAGATATCTTCAGCACAAGCTGCTTTAGCGTTTCTAGGGCAATCTGGGTTTATAGAAATAATACAAAATATAGTGCACATACAGATGACATTCGTTTGATGCTCGATTAGTTCTCTGGTCGGATCATCAGGGGTTATCGAAAGAGACCAATATTCAATGCACCAGTTCGAGTGAGATAATATAAAATGTCTGATCGGTGGATCCCAAATGTATAATGCCTTCGTTCAACAGAAGAACAAGCTCCTCTTCTTGCATTAAATAACACGATAAGGGAAAATCTGGCGTCACAAAAAATACTTATTAAAAATGTCTCCGTTTAGTTGTTCAGCCTAAAGGATAACACTACAAGTGTTATATCGCAGCTCGATTATTTGCTCATTCGTATCAGCCCTCCACCTCACCAGTCAAATGCATACCTAACAATAACTTTCACTTGAGAGAGAGATATTACATCACACAATCGCTTTGAATGAAGTTTCTGTTGCACCTTCAGGATTTCTCTACAGATCACCCCTCGAAACAAAAAGAACTATCTGCTCCGTTGTTGTAGCTGGCGTTCCGAAAGTATTTTGATATTTCCACAAAAAGTATCATAACGAATGGTAAGGAGCTTCGATTAGCTATCCAGAGCTGTCCTAAGTAACTAAGAAAGACCGAATCTGAAGTGGAAGTGTTTTATTCTGGTATGGCGCTGTGAGCTACTGCTCATGCACGACGCCTGTTACCAGTATTTTCAAATTATAAGACCTGTGGCTGAAATATTCACAACTGGTTTAATTATTAGATTTGTATATTTGAAAGACAACTGATTCAGTTACTGAACGTTCTAATCCTCGACCAGCAAAACCTGTTGCTAAATCGAATACCTCGAATATGAGCAAAAAATAATTTGAGCAAAACGACTTTTAGCAAAAGAAAATGAGCAAAAGAATTTTGAGCAAAAAGGTAGTTGAGCGCAAGGACTTAGAGCAAATAGAATATGAGCAAAAAAGTGAATAACAAAATAAATGTGTGTCATTTTTATAACATAACTGTATATATAATAGAACTGTAGCCATTTATTTTGATCATTATTCGTTAAATACAACCGATTTTGAAAAATAGAATGTATTGGACTTGAACATCGAACAAATAATATATGTGAGGGTTGGCATCATCGATTTAGTCAACGTGTACAAAAACAACATCCACATATTTGGCATTTTATAGATGTGTTAAAAAAAGAATTTAAATTTAGGTATGATAGAATACAATTATTAGCTGGTGTATCAATAACAAATCGGCGACATAAGACAATAGCTGTTCAAAAAAGAATAACAACATCAATACATCATTATGCAATATAACAACTAAATGAAAATGGAATTTTTCCTAGCTATATCATTCGCCCTTAGTAAATCAACTAGTGGATGATACAGAACAATATGAAAATTGTCCTTTCGGCTTTTTCGCTTTTATTCTTCCATGTACTTTTCAGTTTTGCTCATATTTTTGTTCAAAATAAACATAAACAGATTTGCTCATCTTCCATTTGCTCAAAGTCCTTTTGCTCAACTAGCTTTTTGCTCAAAATTCTTTTGCTAAAAGTCGTTTTGCTCTAATTATTTTTGCTCATATTCGAGGTTACCACTAAATCATGTGGATTACTTGTAGAAAAAAATATGTTTATTAACATATACCCGTTAATGTTATCTTGAAATTTTTTTGACTGATCTCTCGTCCTCGATAAACGGTTATCTTCTGTTCATGTTTCTTCGAGTAGTGTATAAGTCAAAAATCTAATTAGACGTTTTACACATTTTAGACTTTTTCCAAGGCTTTTAGATTTCTTAGACTTTTAGACTTTTCACGTTCTCCTATATCAAACTATGTCAGTTTGAAAAGGATGATTGAATTCGACGGATTGAAACATGGTGGCTAGAAAGACCAACGTGTTCTCTACAATCCTGTGAAAGACCGACCTCTCTATCTGTTGTGGTTCTCGAATGGCAGGCATTTTACCTGACCAAATGGTAGCGAATTTCGGGGGACTCAGGCAAATGCCCGCCATTCGAAAATCATAACAGATAGAGAGGTGGGCATAATAGGAGAAAATACTTTAGGATATCTAGTCATCAGGGTGAAATTAAAAATCCACCGTAGATTCAGAATCGAGCAGCCTCATCGGTTTCCATCCATCAAGTACACCGCCTGGAAAACCAAGATTTTTAGTACCAAATATATGTGAAGCTAAAGTAAAGCCTTCTCTACAACATGCTAAAGATCCGAACTTTCTATCTCTTTTCATTCTCGAGTTACGCAAAAAATATTCATGACCGCTCTGTTCAGAAATCCATAGTAGAAACTTCGTTTGCCTAAACCCGAGTATAAATAACTGCTTATCAGTAACTTTTTGCAAAGAGAAATACAGGGGTTTGTAGCACTTGGCAATCTTCGTCGAATGGCGTGCTACGTTACCGTTTCCAATCGTTAATTATAAATTACGGCCCTTGTGACTTGTGGTAAATCGACTGCAGTTGCGTGAAAAAGCGCTATGGAATGCCGGGAGTAGTCTTATTTTGCTCAGAAGTTTTCGCTCTACCAGACTATATGGTTTGCAAAACTTTCTCGCTAAAAACTAAGGACTTGGTTTTTAAGCAAGCAGGTTTTCCAGAAGCTCTATTATCAACTTTTCTCATGAAAGGCCGACATGCACCTAATCTGATAGAAAAATCTTCGGACTATTCAAAACATTATTCAGATTAGTTCCAGCTTTTACTAAAAGGTTCTTGTGATTATGACACACGGTACTCCTTAGGTAACACCCAAAAGTTTCTTTTGAATATCTTTAATAACAGGCCCCACCTGTCTGGATATGGTGACCAGCTCACTTTGTAGAGAATTTCAAGGGCTATCCAGTGGTATGTTTTGGAACAATACATAATTTTCATTATGGCAGAAAAACGACTAACGGAGTGTTGAAAGCACTAAGATAGGTCAAAATCATTATATCGGACAAGTATTTCAACCATTGACCCATGTGCGCATATTTCTGAAAGACTTATTTATCGCTCATTTTGAGGCTCGTGAAATTCTCTATTGAATGCTATATCTATAACCGAGACACTTTTGTCACTATTTTATATACATGAAATTGTAGCGCGGGAAATTGTCTATCGAATGGTATATGTATGGTCGTGGCTAGTGGATAAGTGTGGAGCACAGGATCATCATCGTTGAACAAAGAAGAATAGAACTTTGATTACAGTAAATTCGACCTAGTTTTTTCTGAAAGCAATTCTAAGGTCTGTCGGGCGGCTAGAAATGTTCTCCTGTTCATTCTGCATTTAACCATGTATGTGTTGATGGAATTCAAGCAGGGGCTGATTCCATTAAATAATCGCTCCCGTCTTTTCTATAAAGTCAGAAAATCTACGAGTATTTTATACATATCAGAAAAAGCCCCACAATTTTCCAGATCGATTTTCTATAAACTGGAAATTAATTCCAAATTATAGTGTAGTGATATTTTTAAATGAAAAACTTTAATCACATTTCTATTTGGATGATCATGAGTGTTTCCAGTACAAATGAAAATGTAGGTCAATCTTTATGGTATACAAAATGTATAATTGCTGACGGCGTATAAAATAAATAACGAGTATTAAAACTAAAATCAAAGCGTAATATAATATCTGTCATTGTGATGGTAGAAAAAATATTCATACTTCAAGGTTATTTCTTTCCTTGTTATCTCTTCGAAAGATAGAAAAATAAAAGCATTTTGTTGCTGTGACACTATTCCGTGTGGAATAATAAACGTTTGAAAAAATGAGACAAATTACGATCGTAGTATTACTGACTCTATACGTCAATCAATGTTCAAGTCAAACGGGTTTTCCGAAACAGTTTCAAGCGGTATTGAATATGAGTGGATTATTTACAACACTGACTCCAGGTGTACAACAATTATTGTACGATTATACAAACTCAAGAGTTCGTTTTGACGTTCGAGGTTGGCGAGCAAAACAAAATGAAACTTACATGGTTAAGTATAAGCCTAAAGGTGCTCAATCAGATCCAGTAAGTAGAAGATGCTTGGCTAGAACTAA